AATCAGAGGTTTTACTGCGTACGTACTTTATGGATGCCCCCTTACAAAAAAATTAAAAAAACTTCATAAAAATCTTTTTTGACTCCTACCCTTCTCCTCCCACTCTCAACGTTGACCAAGTGACCCTGCCCCTACTAAATTCCGCCTTAACCTCTTAAACACACATGATTGCAAATGGTTAAGATCAACTCTTCCCATCATTTTTACCAAAAAACAAAACATAATCTAAAAATAGATAGATCAAGCTGCGAAAATAACTCTCATGGTATTTTTGAAATTTTGTTAAGTGACTCTGCCCCTACTATAAATGCAAAAACTTAAATTTTTTGCATTTTTAGACAGCTTGGACCAAATTTTCATCTGCACTGGTGGGGGAGTTTTTTTTCGATTCGGAAAAATTTTTATTACTTTAAGTTAATACAAATTATCTAATACAATACAATTATCTTAATACAATAGAATTCATCTTTTGCCGCTATGCCATTTCCGAAAAAATAAAATATGTTTTTTAGTCATACCCCTAATATATATATATATATATATATATATATATATATATATATATATATATATATATATATATATATATATATATATCTTGACTAAAATGTTGAATTCTTTCTTATAAAACATTTTTTGGCTTTATAAATTTCTATTTAGTTTTATAATAAATTAAATAAGCCGAACATATATAAGTTATTTGAATTCTATAAAACAATTGGCAGGCACGTGTTTTTTTTAGTTTTTTGCCTACCCCCTCTAATAATTATTTTACAAAAAGATCTATTTGTAAAATAATTACTAAAAGAGATTAAAAAATTTTTTTAATTATTTAAAAAGATAAATTTTTAGTTATGTATATTAAGTGTTACTTAAAAGAAACAATTTTGTTATTTCGAATTTGTTTATGCCTTTCCAATACATTTTTTTGAATTACATAATCATGTGATATGATTGTATCATATCACTGTATGTATGTACATATCAATGTACACAGTCCTGTATTACAGGACTGTAGTAACAAAACATGGATTGGTTGGGCAATAAGACTTTCTATATGCTCTAGGACAAAACCCTGTAAAGGTTACATGAAACTTTCTCTGTTGAAACCCTACCAAGCATAATTAGAAGAATTTAAGAAAAATATTTCATAAAATATCCATGTTTTTTTGTGTGTATCACTTTATATTAAATATTATTTAAGAGTTATTTTTAGACGTTTTTGAAATATTGGTAATTTTATTTGGTTTTTAGAGAATAATAAATTAATTAAAAAGTTGAATAACTTTTTTTGTATGTTTCCTACTAAAGGTTCATTTTAGCCTAAGAAAAGTTTATTTTAAAAGTAAAATAATTTTCATATAACTAGTTGTCAATTTCCTAATAGAAAGGACACAGTACAAGGTACACAGATTGGGTTTTACTTTATTTACACTACGAGAATAAAACCTCTACTTTGGTGCGATAAAAAAGATTGTGATTTCTTGAAATGTGTCACAATAATATTACTCAGTTTTAAAATTTTAGTCCGTTTGCAAAGATTGAAGAAAATAGAGTGATGAGAAAATATGTAATCCATATGAGTAGAGGCTAGGGATTGCAATCCCGCATTGCGTGATCCTGCAATCCCGCGGGATCCCACATTATTTTAGCGCATACGAGATCCCACAAAAACTACTGCGGGATCCGTGGGATTTGCGAGATCCGCAGGGTTTGCTGAGTTTTGAAATTATTTCTATAAATAAAAAAAAAGCAATTCTATAAACAAAGACGAAAAAGATATCATATTAATGTATTTGCATAACAGATTCATTTAAAAATTTACTAGTCATTAAATGCACAATAAAATGTATACTGAGAAACTCGTTCACATTTTTTCTTGTTTTGTTAATGATTAGTCATAAAATAGTCATTAAGTGCACAATGAAATGTATACTGAGAAACTCGTTCAAATTTTTTTTTGTTATTTTTGAAATTTTTGCTAATGAGTATATTGAAATTTTTGTTGATGAGTATGTTGAAAACGTTAGATTGAAAACGTTATAATAAGAGCGCACTACTTTTTAAAAATTATTTACATCAAGATTTTAAAACAAAAGTACCTACTAAGAATGTCGCAAATTAAAACTATATGGAATTATTTTAAAAAAAGTAATAAAGGAGAAAATGCGAAGTGCATGTTATGTTCGGCTATTTTAAAAATTAGTCAAAGATCAACAAAAGGGTTATTAATCCATTTAAAAACTAAACATGGAACTGATTTAAAATTAAACGTTTTACAACAAGACGGAGCTTCAACTTCAAAACAGCATGAAGCAGTTGAACTAAAGTCTAAAATATACATCGACTGCGAAGACGAAGAGGTAATTCTATCAAAAAAGGTCAAAACAATAGACACGTTTTTGGTAAAAGAACTTTCTATGGAAAAAATGGTACCGCGCATGGTTGCTAAAGATGGCTTTACATTTAATAGTTTTGGCACATCTTCAGATTTGCGGTATTTGTTTTCAAAGAGTGGTTTCCGGCTCCCTACTTCACCCAATACTATAAGATTGATGGTAGTAAAATTCTCAGATTCTGTAAAAGCCGATTTAATGCAAAAATTTATATCACTAAAAAAGCAAAATCAAAAGTTTTCAATAACGTTTGACGAATGGACATCACAAAATAGTCAGAGATACCTTAACTTAAATGTACATATGGAGGCAAAACACTTTAACCTTGGATTGATTCGAATCCATGGATCGTGTAATGCTGAATATTGCGTCAAGTTAGTTGCAGGATGGCTAAATAGCTTTAATATTGACCTCCAAAAAGACATTATCGCCATGACCACTGATGGAGCAAGTGTAATGGTGAAAGTCGGTAAAATGATGTCTTGCTATCATCAACTATGTTATGCTCATGGAATACAACTTGCAGTTATTGATATCTTATACAAAAAAACAACGGAGAAGTCGAAGAACCGTTTACTACAAATGAAAATTGTGAAGAAGAAGATGGACATGAGAACACTGATAATGATGAAGTTATAAATAAAGAATATGGTTTGACAATAATTTTGGACCGACCATCTGCTGAATTGGTTAGCAATTACAAAGATCTCATGAAAAGGTTGTGAAAATATTTAAAAACTCTCCTGTCAAAAATGATACATATTTACAGAAGTATATCCTACATGAACACGGCAAAAAGCTTAAGTTGATTCTTGATTGTAAAACTAGGTGGAACAGTATGTTCGATATGTTAGAAAGATTTCATAGACTAAAAGTGTGTATTGAAAAAGCCTTAATTGATGTTGGGTCAGAAATTCGTTTGACCCAAGAAGAATGGTCCCAAATTAATGACTTAATTATTTGTCTGGCACCACTAAAACTTGGTCTCGAACTATTATGCAGGAGAGAATCGAACCTTGTCACTGCGGAAACAACTTAAATTTATGTTAGATAAATTACAAAAGCAATCATCACTTTTTGATTTAGCCGTGGCACTTCGTTAGAGGTTTACACAACGTCGTAATAAGAATTTTAATGGACTACTGGTTTACTTACAAAATCCTAAAAAATATGAACAAGAAGTTAAAAAAAATGAAAATACTTTTTCAATGCCAAAGAGAACCGTTATGCGTCAAGAAATTAAAAAAATATTGACAAGAGTTTATGCAATTGAAAGAAATAAAGACGAAGAAAATGAACTCGAAGAAAAAGAAGCTGTAGATTCTATTAACAATTCCCAAATACTTACTCCTACGATTCTATCGCTGAAAAAAGAATTGGAAAATCATATACAGAAAGACAAGAAAAGCTGGACAGAAAATGTAAAGGAGATACCAAATTTAGATTCTTTAGATTTTGATAAATTATTGAAGCAGGAAATGTCTGCCTATGAAAATAACGGAGTAAGAGGCAAGTTTCTAGATATAGCCTCTTAATTACTTGATGACCATATCACCAACAAGGGTAGAGGCCGAGCGAGCTTTTTCAGCTGCTGTCTATATATGCAGTCCTTTGAGGAGTAGATTATGTGATGATACTTTAAGTAGGGTCTGTTTGTTAAGAGCGCATTTCTTACAATGATACTTTCTCATACTTATTTTTAAAAATAAGTAAAGCTAAAAGACGCTCTACGTAAAGCTAAAAGACGTTTAACATATTTTTATCTTATCCTTTTGTTCATTAAATTAAGAATTATATTGATTTACAAATGAATTGTGTTTTTGGCTTCATTTACCTCATCTTATCAATTTAATAAGTTGAGTATATTTTTTCTGAAATAATTGAAAGAAAAATACAATTATCATTTTGCCTTTTATAACGTGCACCAATCCCGCGCGGGATCCGCACATAAATTAAAAAATCCGCGCTGATCCCGCGGGATTGAAAAGTGTGCGGGATTGCAATCCCAAGTAGAGGCATAAACATAAAATTTTAAGAAATTGTTAACTAGGTGTTAAGTAGATACAAACTCTTAGAATATTCTGTATTGTAACGTGTTTAAATTAAATTAAAGAATTACTCGGCAACCATTATTTTAAAAATCACCGATTTTTTAAATGATGGTTGCTGATTAATTCTGCGATTTACTAATTAAACAAAGTTCTCGTCTGTTGGCAATGCTATGTTTAGATGCAATAAGAAAAGCCTCTGTTTGCCACCTCCGTTAACTAGTCGTGGGAGATGACAAAAAGAAAAATTTTAACGCAAAAAATTATCGGAGCGGTAATATACGGAGCCTTAATGACAGGATTAGAAAACCATTTATTTCCCTTTATTCTAAAGCCGGCCGTTTACATTTTTTAATCTTAACAAACGCTTAAATTCTCCGTTAGTTTAACAGAGAGAAGTGAGTACAGCTGCAGGTTGAAATGGTTATTGTGTTAAATAGTTATTAGAGTAAAGGTTCCTAAAGATGTAATCATTTATTATAAATTGTGTAACAATAGTTTCCTATTAATATAGTTTTAATAGAAAATGGTACATAAATTTTATGGTTATATGTAGGAAATGTTAGTGACTGGTTAGGACTTGGAGTTCCAACTAAAGTGTTACAAGCAATAAGTGAAATGAAATTTCGTAGTCCAACACCAATTCAGAAAGAAACATTACCTCATGCAATTTTTTTCAAAAAAGATATAATAGGAGCTGCTGAAACAGGTTAGTTTTTTTTTTTAATTCTTTTGTTTTTGTTTTTTTATTGTACTAATAATTTTTTAAATATACTAAGTATTTTTAATAATAAATTCTTAAAAATATATTAATTATAACTTTGTTTAAACAATTGCTAAAACAAGGAACGTTTATATAAAATAGAACAAGAAAGAATTTAAAATAAATTACATAACTAATAGCAGGCTGTCAAGTCGTCATTTTTTTCATTTTTTTCATTTTTTTTTGGGTTCTTTTTTTTTTCTTTATTTTTTTTCATTTTTTTGTTAGTTTTTGTCATTTTTTCATTTTTTTCTTGAATTTTTTACACTTTAAAGTTTTTTTTAAATGCTTAGAATTGCTGTTTTTGATATTTTTAAGTTGTTTTAGACATTATGTTACTTAGTTTTTTATTTAATTTTCAAAACTATTTTATAATAACAGTTACAATCTTTTATGTTCACATTTTAATTTTAATTATCCATTTGTATTGCTAAATTGGTGTTATTATTTTAAAAAATAAATCATTCTATAGTATAGAACTAGTAAAGTTAGTGATTTTTATATTTAGTTTTTAGTATATTTATCAATAGATTATATAGTATAATGGAATAGAATGTGTGGTTGGAAAAGTTAGATAAAAATCTAGTGAAAATCTAATTATGGGCTGAAAAAAGAAACTCTGAATATGCTATCTGTAAACTATGCAAAAGTGATTTAAAATTCAGTTCAGTTGGTTTCCAAGCACTATATCAGCATTCTTCAAAACCTAAACATAAGTCAGTGTCTGATCTAAGATTTTCAAAAACTGCTCGTCATTTGTATGTAGATTCTAACAAAAACTCGATTGGGGGAGAAAACGTTATACAATTAGAGTTCTATAAATGAAAAAATTTCTGCTGCAGAAGCCATGTGGCTTTTTAAAGTGGCAGATAATGATCTTGCCGTAAGACATTGTGACAACACACCAATATTGTTCCAAAGAATGTTTCCAGATAGTAAAATAAGTCAATGTTTTACTATGAGTCGGCAAAATCCTCATATATTTTGCAAGATGGCCTTGGGCCATTGTTGGAAAAGCGTTTATGTAATAGTATCGCGTTAAGTCAAGGTGCATTCACTTTAATGTTTGATGAAACAACTACTTCACAACAAAAAAAACAAATGGATCTTTTATGTCGTTTTTGATCAGAAGACGAAAACCAAGTTGTTACAAAATATTTAACATCGCTGTTCTTTGGCAGAGCAACAGCAGAAGATGTCAAAACAATGCTAGCAGATTTACGTCATAATGAAAGGTTTTATTTACCATGGGATCGTCTTTTTAATATTTCAGCAGATGGTCCTAATATTAACAAAGCCATTTGGAGATTGTTAAATGCTGATCTTCATAGTAATGGTTTTAATGGCTTGTTACCATTTGTAAGTTGCACTTTGCACACAGTGCATAATGCTTTTCGAAAAGCAATTAATGTTGTCGGTGAGGATGCTGAGCAGCTTGCATTTGATTTACATAACTGGTTCAAGGTAATGATTTGTGTAATTTTATACAGTAGAATCCCATTAATTCAGACCCTGGATAAGTTGGATTTGTACTAAGTCGGACAGATTTTCAATTCCCTTTAAGCTTTCTGTACATACAAAAAGCTTAGCTTATTTGGACATTCGTTAAGTCAGACTATTTATCTATTCCCTGTGAGAGTCTAACTTAACGGGATTTTACTGCAGTTAATACTAAAAGAGAATTTTTTATTTTACCTATGAAGTTATTTTTCTTACATTATTATTATTTTTTATTCTAATAGTCTATTATACGACTAGCTAATAAAGTGTAGTGTCTCTATAATTTTTTTCTGTTTTAGAATGCACCCTGTAAAATAAAAGATTTTAAAAAATTATCAGATTGCATTTTTATTGAAGATGAAACATTGTTTCTTCGTTTTGTCAATACTAGATGGCTCACTCTTTTTTCTTCACTTATAAAGGTTCTATTAAGGTGGGAAGACACCAAGAAATATTTTTTGGAATATATTCCAAAACAAAAGGAGTATTAAAAGACACTGACAAACAATAAGCGTTATATTCGAATTCAAAGAAGTCTTAGGGAAACTGAAAATCTATTTAAAGTTATTCTTATTATTTTTTTTTTTTGAATTATTACATATAATAGAGAATTGATTATTTTAGGAGTTACTTGTGTCCATCAAATTCCTTATTGGTTTAGCTCCCTTGTTTGAGAAATACTTGACAATATTTCAAGATGAAGGACCACTTGTTCATATTTTATTTTATAAAATGAAAAATCTTTTAATATCTTTAATGAAACGTTTCCTTCAACCGACTGCTGTTAATGGAAAGCTTACTAAAGATCTTTTAAAAGTTGATTCTTCTGATTCAACTATCCACCTTGATTTGAATAAAATGGACTTTGGCGAGGAAGCTAAAAACCAGGTAATTTTTGATAGGTACACATTTGCTACATTTACCAGTTGCACATTTACTACCTGGTTAATGTGTACTTGGTAATTATGTATAAGTGTACTAGGCAATATAAACTATTTTGTTTATTGTATTATTCATTAGATATTTTATTATTAAAAATTAAGTTTTTTTATTCATTTTCATTGATGCAGATTTTCAATATAAATATGTTTTAGGTGAACAAAATATCATGTGAAAAAAAAAGATTTGTCTTCTTACAGCAAATGAGAGATGGATATATATCTGTTGTATATATATATATATATATATATATATATATATATATATATATATATATATATATATATATATATATATATATATATATATATATATATATATATATATATATATATATATATATATATATATATATATATATATATATATATATATATATATATATATATATATATATATATATATATATATATATATATATATATATATATATATATATTATTACAGTTATTTAATATAAATTTATTTAAATATTCACCTCCTTTTCCGTAATTACATGTGGCATCCTAACTGCTATTCGCCCAATTGCATTAACAGTCCAAGGTTCTGATCTCATTTGAGCACCCAAACAAGTTATATCTTTTAATATCTGCAAATCAAGTGGAAGTTTTTTTTGCAAGTGTTTTACAACAGATATATACCCATCTCTCATTTGCTGTAAGCAAATGAGAGATGGATATATATCTGTTGTAAAACACTTGCAAAAAAAGACAAATCTTTTAAGACAAATCTTTTTTTTTCACATGATATTTTGTTCACCTAAAACATATTTATATTGAAAATCTGCATCAATGAAAATGAATAAAAAAACTTAATTTTTAATAATAAAATATCTAATGAATAATACAATAAACAAAATAGTTTATATTGCCTAGTACACTTATACATAATTACCAAGTACACATTAACCAGGTAGTAAATGTGCAACTGGTAAATGTAGCACTTGTAATATATATATATATATATATATATATATATATATATATATATATATATATATATATATATATATATATATATATATATATATATATATATATATATATATATATATATATATATAAACATAATTTCTGATTTGTAAATTAAACTAATAATAAGTAAATTTTGAAAATTGTAAATAGTATAAGTATTTATATTGTTAACATAATCTACTATATAATTAAAATAGCAGAGTACATTAACCATATAAATATATTATTTAACATTTTCAAAATTTACTAATTATTATTTTAATTTACAAATCAGAAATTGTTGTTTGTAAATTATTAGTTAACGAACTATTTTAATTTTAATATAATTAAATTTTCCTTTAATTTTAAATGTTAACACTTTCTCCATAACAATTTTATCTTAATTTTTGTACAGGTATCATTTGTGAAAGATGAATGGAAATTATACCAAGCAGCTAATATATCAAAAGACTGGTATATAGATTTTGATACAAAAAAACTAAAAAGAGTAGACCATTATTGGGCTAAAGTTTTTGAAAGTAACAATGAATATGGAAAAACAAAGTATGGGTATCTCAGTAAAGTTGTTAAGAGCTGTTTAACAATTCAGAATGGAAATGCCAGTGCTGAGCGAAGTTTATCTGATAACAAAAATACATTAACTCCTGAGAGAGTAAATCTAAATGATGAAACATTAATGGCTTTGAGAATATCAAAAGAATATGCAAGAAGTTGCAGAGGAGCATATAATGTTGATGCACTCTCCAAAGACTTTGTTCAAGCTGTTCAAAATGCTCATAAAATATATAAAAAAAGAAAAGCTGAAGAAGACGAAGAAAAAAGAAAAAATTATATTCATGAGCAAGAACTAATGAATAAAGAAAAAGAGCAGAAAGAAATGCTTGAAAAAGTTGAAAATCAAAATAAAAATTTAGATCAACAGGAAAAAAGTCTAAAGAATGATGAAAAAAATGCAGATCTTGAGTTTCAGCTTGCTCAGAGAATGCTCGATGAAGCAGCAAAATCCATGCAAAGTGCCATTATTAAGGAAGACATGATGGGTATAAAAATTGCCCATGAAATGGTAAACAGCGCAAAAAGAAGTCTTGAAAATGCTACATCTCATAGAAATGAACAGAAAAAGTTGAGAGAAAATATTGGTTTAAAACGTAAAAGTGAAATGGATAGATTAATTAAGCGTTGCAAAAAGTTAAAGTAGTCGTTAAAAGTTTGAAAGTTTTTGTAAATATAAAAGAGCTTGAACTGTTAGTTCAGTTATAATTATTTAGCAAAATTTATTTATTTATGTTAATTATTTTAGACTTTAGAAAAAACGTTTTATTCTGTGTTAAACAACAAAAAGATGTCGAGGTTTTCATTTTTAAAAGAAATTATTGATGGCGGATGATTTTGTTTGTTATTTTGTTTGTTATTTTCAAAATAAAATTATTGAACTTTTCATTTTTATGATGAAATCAGTCATTTTTTTTCATTTTTTGTCATTTTTATTCTCAAAATACCGTCATTTTTTGTCATTTTTTTCGAAAGTTGCTGCTTGACAGCCTGCTAATAGACACAGTTGCAAATTATAAGTTAGACATAATTTGCTGAAAACTGTCCGTTTTTAGGGACTCTTTTTCTAAAAGCAGTCACATAAAAAAATCGTTTTTTCAGTTTGAAATTAAAAAAAAAGAAGATTGTTGAAATTAAAAAGAAAAATTTTTTTACATTGCAAAATTACAAAATTCCAGGAAAAAAAATTATGAAAGTTTTAAATTTTATAATAGTTATTCTCGGTTTTGATGAACAAAATCAACAAATGTATACAGTAAATATGTAATATTTACTAAAAAATAGTAAATATGTAAATATGTATAATAACCACAGCTCTACAAACGCCATTTTTGTTTGTAGAGCTGGATATAATTGAAAGAAAGTGCCTACCAGTATGGCCATCCACATCTTTTTTGATAACCACCTTAAGGTTGTGTGGACTGTTTAGGTTTAATACAAAAACTAGCTTGATGTTGCTGAAATTTAATTAAGACAAGAACAATAGTTCACTGGATTTCATTATTCAAAATGTTTGATTTACATTGAAGCAGATTTACATAGAGGCAAAATGTTTGATTTACGTAGAAGCTGGTTTACATAGAGGCAAAACACTTTGAATTATGAAATCCATTGAAGTATTGTTCTCTTTTTATGATCAACACAAAACTTTTGTGTTGATCATAAAAAGAAAACAATACTTTTGTGTTGATCATTTTCTTTTTTTCTAGTATATAGAGTAAAATAGTTGAAAACTTTTTTTTTTAAAAATACTTTAAAAAAAAAAAAATTTACAAACTTAAAAATTTATACAATAATACATTTTAAGTTTGCTGATAGCAAATTCGACATTTTTGCCCATTTTTCAAAAACAAAAACAAATCATGAAAATTTAGTTATTTATCCAAAAAAAATTATTTTGTATTAAAAATTTATAACCTTATAATTTATATTCAGAAAAAGATACTCTGATTAAATATTTGCAAAAAATTTATTCGAAAAATTATTCTACATTGTTTTACAAAATATATTTATATTATTTGATAGATGGATACATATTTGTTGGATTCATGGTATTGAAATATGATTGGTACATGATTGTTTCGGTAATTGTAGTCATGGGTTGGTTGGTTGTTGGATACTGGATTCAATGTGCAAAAATCTCATTCATATTTATAATTACGCTTCAGATTCTTTTTTATATTTTGCTATTGTTCCGAAAAACAAAACAAATTTAAGATGTATGTAGCTCACCTTATACATATTGATATTTCACATTGATATTTTAATCTCGAGAAGCTACATTATCTATGAAAGTCAAGAATATATATATATATATATATATATATATATATATATATATATATATATTTATATATATATATATATATATATATATATATATATATATTATATATATATATATATATATATATATATATATATATATATATATTTATATATATATATATATATATATATATATATATATATATATATATATATATATATATATATATATATATATATATATATATATATATACAGAATCATACAATTTCGAAAGAAGATTGAGCATTTGCTTAAAATACTCTAAAAAGTTTTCTGTAATTTTGTTTTGAATTATATCTTTTATTTTGGTCAAATTATTTTGGTCAAATTAGGTATTTTTATAAATTGATGATTGTCAGTAACCTATCTATCAACCATCTTTGTAAAAATATTATACTAAAACAAATAGATGTTAACTCAGTTAAAATATATTATTTAATCAAAATGTTGTAATAACACAATATTGAACCTGGAGTTATTATTATGTATGAGTCATACAATTGTTTTTACTGTGATTTTCACAAAAATTTATTCATAGATTATTTTTTTTTGTGATTTACTAAAAATAATTTTTTTAAATAGATTTAGGTAAAGCATTGGGTTTTCAATAAGATAAATTAAAATTTGTTTTTTATATTTAAAACTGTTATCAACTAAATATTTTATATTAGGTTTTCAATTGATAAAATAAAATTTGTTGACATATTTGAAACTACATTTTTTTTAATAGGTTCAGGTAAAACATTAGCGTTTGGGATTCCTCTTATCACTAATATTATGGAGCTTAAAGAAAATTATAAGAAAAAACATTTGAATGATTTAAATGTAAAAAAAGACAACCCTTTGTTTGCACTGATTTTGACTCCAACACGTGAGCTTGCTATACAAATACAAAATCATTTAAATTGTATTGCTAAGTATACAGATTTATCTTGTTTTGCTGTTGTTGGAGGTTTGGCGCAACCTAAACAAGAACGATTGTTGAGTAAGTTTCCTGAAATAGTGATTGGAACACCTGGTCGACTTTATAAATTAATTAAGGATGGTGATCCACACTTAAATAAATTTGAATCTATAAAGTTTCTTGTTATTGATGAATGTGATCGAATGTTAGAATTCGGACATTTTAAAGAGTTAGAGGAGCTTATGTGCATCATTAATAGCTCTCAAAATAGAAGGCAAACATTTGTATTTTCTGCTACTTTAACTCTTCCTGTAAAACATAAAATTTATTCAAAGAAGAATGAAGTAACGCAAATGCAACAACTCGTTGACAAAATTGGTTTAAATCATAAAGCGAAGGTAATTGATTTAACAACAAAACAAGTTACAGCATCATTGTTGCGACAAATCAAAGTAATTTGTATGAATGACGAAAAAGAAATATATTTAACTTATTTTTTAATGTCACATCCTGGACGAACAATTGTGTTTGTCAATAGTATTTCTCTGACTAAAAGATTAAGTTCTTTGTTTACCTTATTAAGATTAGAACCAATAGTGTTACATGCAGGTAAACAACAAAAACAACGTTTAAAATGTCTTGAAAGATTTTCTAGTAGCGAAAACGGATTGTTGTTTGCTACAGACGTTGCAGCCCGTGGTCTTGATATCCCTAAAGTCCAAAACGTTGTTCATTTTCAGTTGCCGAAAGATCCCAAAATATACATTCACAGAGCAGGCCGTACAGCTCGTGCTCAAGAAAACGGATTAAGTTTTATTTTACTAGGACCTGAGGATTTTAAAGACTACAAAAAGATCTCCGACACACTAAAATTAAATGCAGATATTGCTTCTCTTAATATTGATCGTGGTTTTCTTGATGGTATTAAAGTTCGTGTAGAGCTTGCTAAGAAAATAGACAAAGAAGAATACAAGACACGTAAAGAGACAAGCGAAAATAAGTGGATGCAAAGAACAGCCAATTGCATTGACATAGATGTAGATTTACAAAATACTCATGCTTTAACCAAACAACAAAAAAGTTCCATAACTTTTATGAAAAAAGAACTTAATCGGTTACTTAATACTCGTTTACTTCCTAAAGGATTTTCGGGTACATATCCAACAAGAACTGGTAATCTTGTTGTTCCTGGTTTGCAACACATTGCTTAATATATATTATATATGTAAAAGTATAATTTCAAGTAAAATCTGTATATTTAAAATTTTACCTCATAGAATTTTTTCTACAGTTTGAAAGCGAAACTTCGTTTTTCTTAACTATACTTAAAAGATGTTTTTATATAATATTATTTTTAAAAGTATTACTTTATCTGTTTGCTGTATGTGTTTATATGTAACAGTAACCTCGAATACCGATGAATTATGATATAGCAGTGACATTAAGAGAGAGAGTTGAATAAAGGTTTTGTCTAACGCCAAAGCCCGCTATTCTCAGGTCACAAAATCTCGTATTTCATCACAAAAATTAGGTTCTTGTGACTTTTGGAGAATCTTTAATAGTATCAAAACTGTAATTCCACCTCTCTTGTATAGTTCAGACTTTATCACCTCACCTAAAGACAAAACTGAATTATTTGCTAAGAACTTTTCATCAATGTCATCATTTGACTACACTAGTTGTGTTCTACATGATATAGCTGTCAAACAGTTTGATCGATTGCTTGACATTCGTATCACTTCTGTATCTAAAGTGATTTCTTGCTTAGACACTTCTACAGCTTGTGGTCCGGACAACATACCAGTTATAGGCTGGCAGAAGTGTTTTCCAGAGCTATCGTCTATAATTTTAAAACTATTCAACGTGTGTTTATCAGAGTCTTGTTTTCCAGCCTGCTGGAAAGCAGCATCTGTTTCTCTATTTTTAAAAATTCTGGAGAGCGATCTGATTCGTCTAAATACCGTCCTATTAGTCTTCTTCCTATCATAAGCAAGGTTTTTGAATCTTTAATTAACAAACACTTAATCTCTCTTCTTGAATCTAATGACTTACTTTCTGATCATCAATATGGATTTCGGTCTTCTCGTTCTACGGCTGATTTGCTAACAGTAATAACCGATAGGTTTTATTGTGCATTAGATGGAGCGTTTAAGGCCATCGCTCTTAACATTTCTAAAGTTTTTGATAAAGTATGGCATGCTGGTCTTCTCCATAAGCTCTCTTCTTACGGTATATCTGGTAACATCTTTAAGATTATTGAATTTCCAATCGTAGTATAAAAGATGTCTTCGATAGACAGCACTCTTCTTATTCTGTAACTTCATGGGTTCTTCAAGGTTCAATCCTTTGCCCTGTACTCTTTTTAATTTACATTAACGATCTTCCAGATATTCTCACATCTAAGGTGGTATTGTTCGCTAATGATACTACCATTTATTCGTGTCATGATAAGAAGCCAACACTCTCTGATTGCTTGGAGGGGGCATTTGAACTTGAAAAGGATCTCACTTCTTCTACAGCATGGGAGTCACAGTGACTGGTGAACTTTAATTCAGATAAAGCTCAATTATTTCAACCAATAGTTATCGCAATAATTTAGACCTTCCTATATTTATGAACGGTAATGTGTTTGATTAGTCATCTACCCTTGAACTTCTAGGTTTAACTCTTACTTCTGATCTTTCATGGAGACCATATATCAAATCCGTTGCAAAATTGGCATCTGCGAAAGTTGCATCTCTTTATCGAGCTCGACACTTTCTTACTCTGGATTCTATTCTCTCTCTCTCTATAAATCTCAAATCCGTCCTTGTATGGAATACTGTTGCCATATCTGGGGTGGTCTTCTAATGATGCCCTTTCTCTTTTAGACAAGGTGCAAAAACGCGTTGTAAACAAAGTTTACAAGGACCTGCTCTTACAGTTAACCTCCAACCATTATCACATCGTCGTAATGTTGCTTCTCTTTCTTTTTTCTTTAAATACTATAATGAGCACTGCTCTAAAAAGTTAGCATCTCTTGTGCCATCTACTAAAACTCATTCTCGTGTTACTCGTCATTCAATTAAGTCTCATCCCATCTCTTATCTCCAAAAACTATTATTCATCTAGTTTTTTTCCTCGAACATCAGCTCTTTGGAATTTGCTTCCTTCATTTTTTAAGTCTTCTGTCAATCGTTATCTTTCTCTACAATCTTCATCTTTTCTCTCCCAGTAACTTCCAACTCTAATTGTGGTTGCTTGCAATCTGTTGGAGGTGAAGGTGTTTAAAAAAAAACTTGAATATATGATAATACTATGTTAATGTTTTTTACGGAGATATTACTAATTATATTAAACGTGCAAAATAAACATCAAGTTATGCATGACATGTATATAATACGAGGATTGTCGTGATAATATTTTCATCTAATGAGATTAGTCACAAGTTCGTATAAATGCTGAAGTTGCTGCAGCAATAAAAAAAAGTTTAGAATGCTTGATGTTTTATAATCTTTTGGTCCTATAATTTGATGGATTTGTATAGAAATGTTTTGGCGTGCGCTTGAAAGAAATCTTTTGTTTCACAGATAATATCCAAATAAAAGTAAGTTTAATCAGTCTTGTTTTAACGAGAAATAGCCTTTACTAGATTAATTCGAAGCCTACTTTTTTACTGCAAAAAAGAATTGTTTCTCCACGTTCAGACCAGATAAAATGTCATATCTGACATGATATTTTATCTGGTCTGGACGTGGAGAAATAATTCTTTGTCATATATGATATATTTTTAAATAATGGTATATAATTTAATGTTAATAAACTTCTAGTTTAAACGTGGAGTTTCAGATTTAATTCAAAGCAAATAATATATTTATTTACAAATAAGTAATAATATATTAGTAAAAAAAGCTAAATATCTAGTGAAGTTAATAAAATATCTAATGTAGTTAATAAGATATCAGTGTATCGGTTTCCAAGTAATAACGTTGAGCGTAAAAAGTGGATAAAAATTTCAACTCTAATTAGGTTGTTACCAAGTATATTTTTATCTGTACACTAGCCTTCAAATTTTGATACAGTTTCAGTGCGTTGAGGAAAACGTCTCCAGCTGTAAAAACTACAAAATGATCTTTAAAAGTACGTTAGATGACGAACTAGACACGTTTCCTAAAAGAGATAAAGCTAATTTTTGTGATATCAAATACAAGTTTATCAATAGCAGTGATCACCATAATAAAGTTATATCGTTTATGGTTGATGGCTATGTTGTTAAAATTTTTGCATTTTTTTTATGGAACACCTTCTTTAGTACTTAAAATTTATGAAAATATTACTTTTGAAACATTTGATTATAAGATTAAGTGTAACATTTCTAGCTTAATAGTGAATCAAATCATAGCTGTTGACACCTGGTCTAAGTTTAATTAGATACTTCGTTCTTAAGCTCCTTGAAAATGTACAATAAAAAAGAAGTAGTTATGCAAAATGTTTCAGTTATGAACAAAAACAATTGAAAATAAACTTTATACACCTGAAATATTTAAACCCTCTTTTGTATATTTTCAACATCAAAGGGATTATATAATCGCTTAAGAAATGATTATCAACTTCCTTCTATTTCAACACTCACTCAAATTACTTCAAAAATTTCAAATATTAATGAAAACAAGTTTATTTATTCAATTTTTAATTCTCCTTCGGATAAGGAGAAATTATGAACATGGTTCACTTAACCATGCTTGAACTATTTTTGGTGGATTGATAACCCAGCGGAATCGTCTAAAATACTGTTAGGAATTACGGCTTTTTGTTTAAACGGGGGTTCAAAGGTGTTATTTAAAATAACACCAATATCAAAGTTACGATCTGATTTTTTATTTAAACAGATAAATTTGACTAATCATATAATTGATTCAGTCAGTGCAAATGTAAAAGCTATTAAATGTGATGGGAATTGTGTCAATCAGGCTTTTTTTTTAAATGTACACATTCGTTCCGGGAAAACCATGGCTAACAGTAGATAGAAAGTATTTACTTTATGATTTTGTTCACCTCATAAAGATATTCGTAATCTAGTTAACTGAAAAAACTCAGGAATTAACATTTGACGACAACGGAGTAACCACGATTGCAAAATGAACTCATTTAAAACAGCTTTACAATGCAGAATCCAGAAGCTTTTGGGGTCATCCATAAAGTACGTACGCAGGAATGGGGGGAGGAAGGGTTTCCCAAAGACGTACAAGGGCAGAGGGGGTGTTAAAGACAGTGAGCACGTACGCGGTTTGACTCTTCTAAACTTGTTATAAACATTGAATTTCACGTGTGTAACAAATCAGTATTGTGTTTTTTATTCTGATTTCAGTCACAATTTTGAAAATATTAATTTGAAAAAAAATAATGCGTACGTACCCAAAAAGGGGGTGGGGTCTTCGAAAGCGTACAGTTTCGTATTAGGGGAGGGAGTCCTAAATCAGTGGTTTTAATGCGTACGTACTTTATGGATGCCTCCTTTCTAAAGTTATCTGGCTTGAATGAAACTTCTATTTCTCTAAAACCTGAAAAGACTTACGCTGCTCTTTTGCAAAATCCTGACATGATTCATAGCGTTGTTAACGACACTGTAATATTTATTAGTTATTATTTGGTGGGAAATTTTAAATGTCAAAGCCTTTGGTACATAACGTACATAACGATACTTTACAGGCTGTTATCAATAATCCTTACGACAACCGTTTAATATTTAATACTACAACTTGGTGATATAGCGCTTAAAATGGCAAGTTTCCATGGTATTAAACAGCTTTCTAAAGGTACTGCAACTTGTATATATCAAACTTTTTATGGGCTAATAGATTTATGTAGATATTTACTTAAGATACTTACACAAACTAAGTTCTTATTGGTTAATTTACATCAAATCACCTGGAAAAAAACAGATACTGAAACTTTTTAGGCCCTGTGTAATAAGGTTAACAAATTCACATCAAGAGATAATCCACTGTTATTCAGGGTGGTATCTCTCTTAATAATATACGGAATAATATTAATGGCAAAAGTATTATCAATAGCAAAAGAAAAAGAAAAGGAATTTGAACACAATCCAATATCTGCACTAACAAACTGGCCAAAAATGGCTGGTCAACCATCAGAAACTACTAGACATGACTGTTGGATTCAGTCACTCGCAGCAACAATTAAATTTCTCACAGAGAAAATATCAACACTTGAAACGGACAATGTTGCTCTTAAACTTGAATTACAACAAATTAAAGAGCATCAAACAACAATAACTGCTTCATAAACGTATACAGTAAATTCA